ATATTGTCGTTCTCGAAGAGTGATGAACTGAAGGCAATTGACTAAATACAACACGGAAAATACGAATTTTCTCAGTGACCACTTAAATTGACCATTTAAATTTTTTTCTCCATCCACGTTTCATCGTCATCAAAAAATTGTTTCATGGAATAACAACGCAGAATGCAAAGTGCAATTCCACATTTAAGCAGTATAAGCAGTATAAAAAGATTATTGTATGAGTAAATTAACAAATTGTATGATAGTAACAGCGATATAGAAGAATTCCACCTATAAATGAATGGATTTTCGGGAAATATTGTTCGCTTATTTTGCACCACTGCAATCGAAATCTGTGACACAACGCCTACGTTTATGGCCAACAATTAGCGTTGGACCTTTTTGCACAGAGAATTGCCGAAATAAAAAACCTGATTTGCTTCATTAGATAGCGATATGGAATTCACAGAATGTTAATCTTGAATGGGTTCGAAACTAATAAGATTAAAAATTTATAGGTTAAAGTTTAAACACCTGGTCAAGAAAATTTTTACCAATGTTACGAAGTTTTTTGTTTGATAAGATTTAATGCGAATCCATCACAAAATGTTCCGTCCTTTTTGCAAGAAAAAATATATTTATTAATGAAAATAGATAATCAAAAAAGAATAATTTTGGTTGAGCAGGATACAATATATTTGGTTTTCTCCAAGAATTCTAAATTCTAAATAATTTTATCGATCATTCTGGTTCTTAGGTAAGTTTTACATTATATAATGATCATTGATTGCCTGAAAGTCAAAAGTAAGCGACAAAGTTAGCGAAACCATTTGAGACACTTAAAATCCATCATACGAAAATCAAAACTTATAGTTCTAGTTAAGGTTACCTTAAAAAAATTTTAACTGCGCCAAGTAGCCTGGAATTGCCATTGTTTACTCGTGTTGAATAGTGATGTTATTTGGCTCAAAATTATAGGAAATATTAACTATATTAGGCGTCAATACGAATATTAAAAATATAAGAAAAATATGAAAGAAAAATGTAATATCACTATTTTTTTTCCATTTTTTGCCAAATATTGAGTCAATCGACCGATTAAAAGATACTTGAAAGATTAAAAAAATAAGGTGAAGAAACTGGTTGCATTTAAAAATTGAATTAAAAATTAAAAATGGATGGAAATCAAACTTATTACATTTAATTACATTTGAGAATTACATTTAATTATAAATAAATAATTAGGCGTTTGGCGCTCACCACCGCTCCTTAGGCTGCTTAGAATCCACTGGCTGTTCGTGGAATAAAAAAATCATTGCCACAGCGCCATTTGCAAATAGTAGAAAAGGGCCCATTTTTTAAAAAGATTTATTTTTGTTCTTTTTGTAGGATTGGAATAGTGGTAAAATAATAACCCTGAATCAATTAAATAATTATGTGAATATTTTTCAATTTTTGCGCATTAATTTCTTATTATTATTTGACATTAATTTTAGTTTTTTTTTTCTATTTCACTTGCATTTCCGGTTTGGCTTTTTCCTTGTTGCACAATGCAAACTTTGGTAAGCAATCACTTAGCGTTAGAAGTTTAGCTAAAAAGCTAGCATCAACGAATTCTTGGAAGACTTACGCCAACCGGGAATAAAACCCCAATTGTGACCTTCCGAATTACGAGCAATAATCCACTGAGCTACTTTACTCCCCTAAAGAATTCTAATTTTATTTGTTTGCATCAAATTCAGCTTACGACTATTATTCCTTTTTATTAAAGCAAATTCCGAAAAATAAGCTATTAGATGAAAGTTAGATTTGTTTGGACTTCTAATGCACTTTTGATTAACAGAAGAATTCATTTTTCCATTCTTTTTTCTTTTTAACGCTTTTAAAATCATTTAATCATTTAATCATATTTCTAATTGTCTCATTAGAATTCCATTAAAATATTTCAAATATTTATTTTTAGCTTATTTTACATTTTCATTTGTTCATTTTTAGCAAGATGAAATCATCTGAGGTTCAAAATTTTAATAAATATTAGGTAAAAATTAGATTTGGTGAAATATCTTTGTGAAATAAGCTAAAAATAGTAAAATAAGTGGAAAATGGTTTGACGATAGAAGTGCGGTTCCATTTCCTAGGTTTCTTAACAGCAGGTTTGTTCCAGGTAATATAAATAAACCTTTTTAAGCGTTCGCGAACGCTTAAAAATGACTACTTCTAGGTTAATTAGGTAAGAACGACAAACGAACAATAAATTTTGGCAAAAATATGTTTTGTAGTAATGTAGTGTAGTTTTTGTAGTAGTAAAGGATATTCTATAAGTACTTTAGTGAATCATTTATTAAAGGTTATTCTTTTTTCAAAAATTTATCCGATGAGGAAGGGTTTATTAAGAAAAACGAAACAAAACGATTAGAGAAAATCGCTAATTCGTCCCTCTTGACGATTATTCAATTAATTAGTGTGAATCGGAGACATATAAATTTTGTAATTAATTATTTAAATCAGAATATAATTCCCAATGTGATTAAATAGGTACCACAAGATATGCATTGTTTAAAATTAAAAATCCGACAATTTTCGTTTGTTATAAAATTTCCTTAGCAAAAAGAGCCTTCATAAATATACTATAATGGTCGCTTTATATTTGCTTATTTATTTTTGTTGTTGTTTCCCGTAGTTTCTTTGCAGAATAGAATTCACATGCGCTAAATATTCATGTATTGCAACTGATAAGAAATCATAAATGTGTAAAACCAATTAATTATTGTGATGGGATCATTAATAATCTAAGCCAGTTTACAGTCGATAAATTATATTTTTAAATTAAAAAAACTATTAGAATAAAATAAATAAGTTATGATTGATTGCCAGAAATTCTATTTTTTTAATCGCACATCTTGTCGGAAATAAAATTTGCAATATGGTCAAATTTTTTTCTTCTTCACTTTTCCCTTATATCATTGCTTCATTTCTTGCATTTTCATCATTTCAGTGGGATTATATAATCAACAAAATATTAAATTAAACTATAGAATATTAAACCATAAACTATAGAATTGAGTTGTAATTCGAAGAATATATAATTTTTGAAAGATCCTTATTTAAACCATAAATCCTAGATATTTATAATTATAAAATGCAAAAGTTTCTCGTGTATCTAATATTTTCATCCATCGCTAACCAAATATTCTCTCCAGGCTGCAATATATCGGTAAATTTTTTAGAGTTATGGAAGGCAGTAGAAATCGGCTGTCTCTTTTCTAGCAACGATTGGCTAGCAATTTCTAGCAATTGAAATCCCTATTTTCGTACTATGCAACAGTGGTCACATCTTTATTTTATAACCATTCAATCATTTGGGAGGAATCTGAATTTCGAAATATATATGATTCGCGTTAATCGCAGTCTGAGAAATGCATCTTTAGCGGTTTTTTCTATTATTCCATTATTCTGATTTGCTTAAATATTAACACTTTTTTCCTGATGAGATCATTCGACTTAATACAATAAATATAATTTTGTTGATTTTTTAGACTGTAATTCGATTCGATTATAATTTCTTTACTGAGCCTTATCAGTTAAGTTAATCAGGTAGATTTCCAATTCATTGGTCCTTTTGTTATCGAAAAACTAAAATTGTCGCAAGAAAAATGAAAACTGATCGACGAAGCTTTTATTAATAATCTGACATTATTTTGAAAAAAATTTTTTGTAAATAAATTAGCTATATTCTTTAAAGCAACATTGAATTTATTGAATTTATGAAAATCCTTTCATTCCAATAATTCTCACTGATTCTATGAATTAAGTTAGATTATTTGCGAGGAAAGCTTAAAATTATGCATTCGATTATGAGCAAAAATAATGCGAATAAATATGCTTTATTTTATCCTTTTTATTCAAATCAACATGACGTGATTTCTTCTTCTTTTTCATATTTATGAAAAAAGCTATAAAGGCATATTAATTTTGCCGTTGAGAAATTAAGAATATAATAATTTACAATACAATTATTCGGCCATATAAGGCAATATTTTGAATTTACGCATAAAGATAAGCAGGCAATGCAAAAATTAACAAGGAATTTACGCTTTTAATTATTGATGAAAATTTTTAAAGAGATTTGGTTCGACGTTCTTCTAGGCACTTCATTAAGGCAAATTGTAGTCATTAAATCGTAGTGATGCTATACCATCTTCAACTGCATGGACTTCCGAGCTCACATTTGACCTAATAAAGAAAAGTTTCGCTGTTTTCGGTTAATGATTTCTGAATGATTTTTTTGGCGCAATTCTCTAGTTTCCCCAAATCAAAGCCAACAGGTTAAGTAGAATTCAAACTATAAGTGAATAAAGTGAATAAATTAATTTCATCAACTTAAATTAATTCATTCCCATAGTCTACGAGTGAATAAAATTTCTCGATGCCTTCATAATAAAATTTAACATATTACTTCAATTTCTCCATTAACCAACGTGATTTAGGCTTCATAGCGAAGAAACTATACTCTAAGTACTATTCGGCGAATTGCTAAATAATTCTCGAAAATTCATCTATACACAACTTGCAAAATTGCAACCTGTCACATTTTGCACTAATTTTGCGTTGGGTTCGATGAAATGACGCGTTGTTGACCGATATAGCTTTCCTTATTCGACCACTCCTATTTGCATTATTCGGTCTGGAAAATGTATTTCTAACGGTTTTTCCTATTATTCCATCATTCAGATTTTCTCATATATTTCAATAATTTTTTTCGTAATGGAATCAAATTTAAATTTAAATTTAAATTTACCTTATCGTTTAGTTTAATTATGTAAAAAAAATATTTTTTCAAGATATCAATGACAAAAAAAGTGTTCATGATTATTTACGGTATTATTTTGCTGAAATTGACAAGCAATTTTAATTACTTCTCTTATCTCATATTTCTAGAAAGAAATTTTTTTCTTACTCGAAAGTCACACTTGTCACACTTCATAAATGAGTTAACTGGAGAACTAAATATCTGAACTAAACTATAAAGTAAAAAACCTGAAGGGATTCCCAAATCTTTTCCTGTGACCCATCGCTTTTACAAGAATTAATGTATCAAGGCGAGGTATCACACGTAACGAATTCTGAATCTCCTCATCAGTGACCGTAATCAACTGACAATTTTCACTTTCGGATGGCATTGGCAGTTTTCCATTCATACTTACCCATTTATGCTCCTGAAAACTAAATAAACATATATCAATGTAAATGGCTAACCGCTCAGCATTTCGGTTATGCGGATCTACTGGCTATTACCAAAATAAGAGAATTTTCTTGTAGGCTATTAGTCTGCAACATCACTCGGAACTTTTTATGGCAAAGTTATTTCTCTCGAAGTGGGGGATACCAATAGACAATACCTTAGATGAGGCCATAAATTGAATAACAATTACATCTACTTGGTTATTCTGCACCCATTTGATGTTACAAGATTTCATAAAGAAAAAATGATAGATTAAAAGGAAAAAGTACGATAATAAAATGAATAGCAGTGCTCAAGCATATGTTAACTTTTAAAATTATTTTATAAGGGGAATCTAAAAAAAGGAACCAGTTAATCAAAAAAAACTATACCTTTATTTCATGAAGCATGAATCGAAGGCCAGGATCTTTGATCAGCATATTCAAAATCAAGGATTTACAATCATCACTAATAAAAATACTGAAAAAAATTTATTAATTTTTAAGTGAAACAATGATAAGCTCGAAAGAGAGAGAATCAGTGCAAGAAATTGACTTCGAGAATTTTTAAAAGACCAAAACTCCAAATTTTTTTCTTCATCTAAAAAGTAACTGACGCTTCAGTTTCAAGTACTACTAACTACTAACGCTTATTAAAATCCCTTACTTTTCCGGAAAAATAACAGGATCATTCTTGATTTTCTTATGCAAGGCAATAATATAGTTGTCTGTGAATGGTACATGGCCAATTAATAAAGCATATAAAGTTATGCCAAGTGACCAAATATCCTGGGCTCGGCCACTATAGAAAAGTGAAGAATCTTCTGAAAGAAATGGATGCATTTCTCCCAACATTAGTTTCAAAAACTTAATGGAAATTTATTTCTTTAGCGCCTTTATAGCAAAAAGTAATTTAATTTAGTATCAGATATCTCTTGAAATTTCATTATAAAGCGAATTTATTTATCTTCCTTTTTCCTCTTTATTAAATTTATTGAAAAAAAAGCAGAATTTTTAAATTCATACCCACTAAGGCTTCAGGGGCCATAAAAGCTGGAGTACCTGCCGTTCCAGTCAAAAATGCATCAATCCCTTCGAATTCGCATGAAACACCGAAATCTGCGATCTGAAACAAAAAAAATTTGGTTATATCCGCTTTTTTAGAGTAAAATTCGTTTTGATTTTGATAATCATTGGGAAGAAATTTATCCAGTAAAAGAGCATTTTTCTTGAATTGACTATTAATACTGTGGGAATCTCTAATATCTAAATGAAATTTTCGAGTAAAATACCTTAACATGACCTATTTCTGACAGCAATAGATTTGATGGTTTGAGGTCACGATGCACGATTTTTTGAAAATGCACTGAAACCAACATCGGCAAATAACAATTTCAGTAGGAAATAAAAAATTGTGATGTTTCGAAAAAAAGCATTCTTTTTCGTGAACTTTATAGAAAATGATCTAATTCTAATCAATGACAGGAAATTTTAATCAGTTACATAAATGGTAAAGAAATAAATTACAGTATTCCAGCCCTTGTAGAGTATCTCTAAAATATCTCCACGTAATATCTTCTCGCAAAGGTTTATCTGTTGGTATTTCCAAGACTGATCTAAAATATCTCAAATTATTTAAAATATAAATTCGAGAAAAACAAAAATATTCTCAAGAATTCTCAGCTATACGATGACTAAGAATTGATTAGGTCAAGACAAATATTTCGAAAAATAAAAATAGCTTCATTTTTCTTTATCTTGACTATTAAATTATTTTCGTTAATATTCATTCACCATTTGCGCGATTTAATGCCAAATCTTAGGTTATTTGTTTTGTTTTTCCAAGTAATTCAATAGTTTAGATTGCTTGATATGATAATATTTTGATATGATATTGATTGCTTGATATGATAATATTTAGCAAAATCATTTTCAATCGTCTAATAAATGAAGAAAATTCTTAATTACCCTCTCTCTACGTATTCAAAAACCATGTAGATAAATTTGTCGCTTGGATCGTCCAAAACCTAAAGAAAATTTTCAAGAAAGAAAGTAGGATAGGCGGCAAAATTGACAAAAAATGTGATATTAGCCTAGAGATAGCCAAATGAAAGCTAAATTATAATTTAGAAATCTGTGATAGGAATGGAAGAAGGAAACTGGTGCGCGAATAGGATCTGAATCATTATACTAAGTAAAAAGAAAATTTAGGATGCCGATTCCTTAGCAAATTCCTTAATCTGAATCATTATACTATAAGTAAAAAGAAAATTTAGGATGCCGATTCCTTAGCGAATTCGTTAACATAGGTTTTTTAAATAAGATGGAAAGTATGGTTATGAAAATAAAGAGGAAGTTTCAGTTGAATTTAGCATATGCTTGAAAATAATAACGGAAGCTTCCGGAATAACGGAAGTTTCCCACCTCAACAAGTTTAACTACATTTGGATGATTCAATTTCTTAAGAATGGCAATTTCACGTTGAACAAGTTGCATGGGATCCTTCATTGATGATTGCGCTCTTTTATGCCTTTTCGGTGGAGCTCCTTCAAAAAACTGTTCTCATACTGAATGACAATCAAATTCAATGAAATGAAACTGAACTAATGAACAATATTTGTAAGATAAATTTTTGAGATATGGCTTTAAACAAAGGCAATTTGATTTTCGTCTTATAAAGTCAATTCATACGAAAAAAAGCGAAATTTTTGATAAGTTTCGTTTTATCCAATACTTTAAGCGCCTGAAAATAAGGAAATTTTACTTTTCACTTCGTCCTTCTTCAGACGTGAAAAATTAATATTAATTTCTTAATTCTATAATTTTTCTTTAATTTCCTTTTCTGTTGTTAAAATTTATTATTTTTATCGACGATCATTGTTCTTAATCTTTCTTCTTAATCGGTCCATATGAATTGATGAACTATACAAATGATTGCGAAAAAATCGAAAGTCTTTTTTCTATAACTGCCAAAATAACATTGTTTTTTTCCCATTCTTGAATAAATATGGTATTTTTTCCTGGAAAAATAGGCAAAAATTTTCCATGGCATTGAAATTATCGAATGGTTTTAATTTAATTTATAGAATTTATTGAATTTTGAAGTGAGGTTTATCACATATAGCCAATCAAAAGGTTCAAAAACGATTATTATCTTTTATTATTAAAAATAAACCTATAAAATATTAGTTGATTGAAAGAAAAAAGATAAATAAGAAATATTTGATTACATATAAATTTTTATCCTTTTCGTTATATGCGAGTTTGACAATTCCATACGATCCCTAAAAGGAAAAAAAAGAAACGATAAATAGGCGATATTTCAACTTAACAATTCAATTTAATTCAATTCATAATAAAGAAAAAGTGATCAATTTTATTCCCTAAACTATTTAATTTTAAATTGGATTTCTTGAAAAGTTCTCCATTTCGATTACCAAATATGAACCATTTTTTTCAAATTTTTTTCAAATTCCTCGCAGTTAAGAACATGAAAAAGATCGATATTTTAATTATTCGTAAATTTTGTGCGTTAATTTTTTAAATCTTCCAGAAACCTTATTGAAAAAATTTAGTAAAAAAAGCTCGTTGAAAAAGAATGGAATGGAAGAAAAAAGACTAAGAATTAAAATCTTATAATTAAATCATTTTTCAACGCCCTAGGCATTTTTTTCTTCATCGCTCATTTTTAGGCTACAGCAGTGGATTGACTATTTTACAAGGATTTCACCAAACCTGGCCAATTTCCTCCATAAGTCTGTATTGATTCAACTGTACATATTTATCGTTAACATGCTGATCGACAATTCTTACGTGCCGAGTTGGACGACCGAGATGAGGTGATATCGCCAACTATAAAAGAGTTAGGATTTATGAATATTTTCAAGAAATTTGGTTGTTTCAAGAAAAATCATATTCGGTAAAAAGTTATTTCATGGTGTAATAATTTTTCGAATTTTTTAAAAATTTTTCACACTTTAAAAGTGGAAAATTGAAATGGAAAATCAATGAGCCATAGAATTGGCTAAAGCTTTTTACTGCAATCTATTCAACTTGTTCTTTACCATTGCTATTTCAATCAAAAAAGAGGAAATATCTTATCTTAAAATTTACAAACTTACAAATTATGAAATAACTCAATATAACAATAATAGTTTTTATAATCCTGTGATCGAGTGAGATAATGCTTTATACTGAGAAGAATTAACTGTGATGACGAAGCTATATGCTTAACAATAAATGCTTTTGATCTTATCAAAAGTTATTAACACCAACTCCAAAATAAATAGCAATGCCTTAAAGATTATTATTATTGAACTGCAAATCTTTTTTACGCGAATAGATCTAATTTTCTCACTTAAAAGTCGATCAGTGCCATCTTACCTGATACTTTTGACATACGCTACATGTGTTTTTTCGCCACTTTGTTTAATATTCTCGTAAAAATTCTTTAAAATAGAAATTAAATTTTTATAGAGCAAATTATTAAAATGGTTGAACCAAATAGCCAACTGTTAATAGTCAAAAAAAATATTCTCTTAATAAAAAGAAATACTATTTTAATATTTTAAGCTATCGCCACACTAACTGGGTTCTTTTGTTACTATTAGTCCAATAATTAAGATAAATAGCGAAAGTAAGGCTAAATTTATAAGAGTAGCAATTTAGTGACTAACTTTATTGGCAGAGGACAGAGTATCGTTATTGCTTCTATTGTCGATTTTAATATTATCATTTGACGTTGAAGGTCGATTGCCGCAATAGGATTCATTTTTCATTGCTCGCCGACGCCCAGTATCAACTGATTGTTGGCGGATAATTTTTGTCAAACTTAAAAAAACATTTCGAATCGCCGACGTTCCATCGAACATACTAAAAATCAAGTAAAAGTATGTTTGATTTGTTCAATTTGTCAACTGGTCGGGAAAAAAACGAAGGACGATCAGCTATGCGAATTAACCAGTTGGACTCATTGAAGTATTAAAAATCCGCCAAACGTCCATGACTGATTATTCGCTATTCATTTTTTATTTAATGCCTTCAATGTTACTCGCGATGATTACGCTGCCACCTTTGGAGAAACACGATTATTATTGAACAATTACCGAACAATTCGTTTTTTAATAAATATAAATATTTTAAAATATAATATTTTTTAAATTTTTAAATCCATATTAACAAAGAAATTCTTATAGATCCGATTTTAAAAAATGTACACGAAAATGTCAACAAATTAAGCTCAGTCACAAAAAAAATATATGAAAAATTAGACAACTTTTATATAAGTGGTTTTCGAAATTTCTAATCGTGCTAACAGCATTGCCACTTTTCTGGTCAATTGAATCAGAAATAACGAGCTTCAGCTGTTTACTTCCTCGCTTACTGCTAACTTACAAGTTCATGAAAAATGAAAAAACCTGTGATGGATATTCTAGATGATAAATGGAAAAAACAACATACTTAATACATTCTTAAAAAACCAACTGTTTTGCTGATCAATGAATGAGCGAAATCAGATTATTTAAACGTTTTGAAAATACTTCTTAAATACGAATATAAATTAATCCGAAAAGCTATACGTTTTCATTAAACAACGAGAAATATCACATCTAATAGTTTGCATAAAGAATAAATTCCAGTGATTTTAGTCGAAATTCATAGACCTTTTTCGATAACGAATGGATATAATGCAAATTTATGAATGATTAATAATGCGTTAATTAAAATATTTCTTAAAATCTTCGCATTCTCAGGAAATAATGGAATGTTTCAATATGGAAAGATGGTTTAACGAAATCAATTCCTAAGTTTTTTAATGAATTTTAAACGAATAATTTTCTATTTGTTTCGCTAAAAAAAGTAACCAATAAAGACAATTTTTTAAAATATCAAATAAATGGAAATTTTTAAATAAAAAATTGAATTTGAAAAAAATACAAAAAAAGAAAAATTTATGTCGTTTTTTAATTTTTTTTATTGTTCAAAATCTATTTTACATTCGCATTAAATAGTACTTCAAAATAATTGAAAATTGACGAAAATTTTCATTCCAAATTGATGGCAGCAATGAAGGAATGAAAGAATTGCAGGTTTACTCATAAATTCCTTGAGTAAATCGATTCATTAAATTTAAATAAATAAATTATTAGTGATTTTCTGTAAATTTATATGATTTTATATCAACGTCAAATATAAAAACGATAGATTTTCTAGTAAATGTTTTAATTAAAAAGTGAGAAAACCCAGGTTGAAATGAATGAAATGAGATATTTAAAAAATACTCGTAAAAAAAATTTCAGCTTTTTTCGATAATCAATGATCAGTTAAAATATCGTTGCTGATTATCGTTAACCATTGCTGGTTAAGCTTTCGCTGGCTATTATTACGATAAGAAATTTCTTCCAGCGAAATATTTGAAGATAGAAGCACAGCTGAGCGAGCAGCACAATCTGCACAATTCTTTAGTACCAGTTTATTTCTATTGGTGATAAAATTCCTAATGAACTACTTTCATAATACATTTTTGCATAGAACTGCATAAGTTTTCCGGTCCATAATAAATAATGCCATTATACTGAAGCTAGAAAAGATATCGGAAATATCCTTTATTTTCACTCTCACTCGAACACTCTCGAAGAAAGAGGCATTCAGCGAATAAATAAATTAAAAAACAAATGAATCGAATAAAAATGCTTTTTGCTTAAATATTTATATAGCCGAATTCATTGACAAGATTTATATTAAAAATAAAAGGATTTAAGAAAATTTTGTGCGATAACGCAAAAAAAATAAAAAATAAATAATACTCAAATCAAGCGAAATTTTCTTGGATTAAAAGGATTAAATTTTCTGATTACTTAAATACTTTCAAAAAATGGTCATTCTAATAGATTTTGTTGGCTAAAGAAATTTGATTTCAGGATATATTTCATCGGCTGTTCATATTCCCACATGATGAATTGTATTTTATGCGTTAATCATTTAAATTGAATTTTATATAGTTGAATGGTTTCGCTAAATTTCGATTATCCGCAAAAAAGACCTTACAGAGTAAGAATGAATAAATAAATAATATGATGGAAAATATGAAAAGGAAAAAGATATTCAATGCTTCAAGCTCATTTAGTCGAGTCTTCTTATAGTTCAATAAAAAGAACCAACATATTAATAGGGTGAAAATCTATTGAAAAGGCAATTCCTCTATATGGCCATTTTTCTTCCTCTTTGATGAAACCTGAGGCTACAAAAAGAGCGAGGGAGAATCCAGATAGGTAGCAATTTGCAAAAAATTTCTTATTTCTACACAATAAAATTTTTCATTATACGAATTTACTTTTAATTTGAAATTTACAAATTTACCTTTAATTTGCCAGGACAATTAATTTTAAAACCCGTAAGAATTAAAAATAAAATAAACAGAAGAAAGGCAAAATTCATTAGATAATAAGTTCTACCCTCATGCAAAGCTATAATCACCGTTTTTCAAACCTATATTTGTAACTTGTATTTTATTTTAAAAATTTAATGAAAACATATTCAGAATTAAGAATTAAGTTACTGAGAGAATTCAAGGCACTCTGACTAAAAAGCTCATCAACAGCCACTTTATATGCAGGAAATTCAATGAAGAAGATAGATTATAGAAAATTAGCAACAAATGCTTTAGCTATAGCAATAATTATATAAACAAGTGCTAAAAATCTAAAAGCAGTAAGTCTAATTAAAGTTAAAATAATAAAAATTCTAAATTCTAACCGTGCCAATCTTTCGCTTAAGGCCACAAAATGTTGAAAACACGACATCCCGTCATCTGCCCGTACCAGTCTTTCAATTCCAATGACATGGAAAACCACAGCATTCACTTTATAATCATTTAAAAAAGTGCTTATTGGTGCATATGATATGAAAGTTTCCTGAATAGGCGAACAATTGTGGTCAAAAATAAATATTTTATAAAAATTCTTCCATATTCGTCTTACCAAATTTTAAAGGTTATTATAATTAACGAAAAATCTACCCAATCTGAATTTTAGTCCAAAAAAAGCCTTTTGCAACGTAAATAATCTAAAACTCTAAATTTTGCCAAAATTTTTAAGGAAATCAAAAATTATTTGAAAAACAAATTAAATTATTTGTTTGAAAATAAAAAAAGGAAGAAAAAAGAAAGGGGAAAAATAAATAAATCTATTGACACTAAACATAGCAGAAATTTAGACTAAAATATGAATGTTTGTTAATTAAGATTAAGGACAACTAAAAACATATTATTATTGAATGATAAAAGGAAAATACGAGGAAAGCGACCAAGTATGTAAGTTTAGAGTTTTAGATTGTTTATGTTGTAAAAGTCTTTTTTTGGATTTAGCTGAAATTCAGGTTGAGTGGATTTTTCGTTAATTGATAAATTTATCATTTTATTCCTAAAATTCAGGTTGAGTGGATTTTTCGTTAATTGATAAATTTACCATTTTATTCCTAAAATAAAACTTATTAATACTTATTAATAAGATCTAAGTAAATCATTTAATCTTCGAACATTACGCATCATTATTGGTTAAATTAACTCCTTTGACTACAGAAGTGAGACATATTCGAGCCATGCGAAACCATGATGCTTTTTCTTGATGTCGGTTAAGCCCATATATCACGGCTTAGTTTACGTTCTCTTGAGAGATTCAAAATCTTAGCGTTTGATTGCTGATCTCGATTTGCTTCTGAAATCATCCAACAGCAGATTTCCTAGCTTCTGAGATATGCTACAATCAATTCCTGCAACGAAAAGGACCTTCTGATCAGAGTAGGTAAAGTTTTTTACGATACTATCAACGTGTAGCATTCGAACAATGGGTATAATACAGTGAAATTTAATAATGCGACTATGTAAACTTTGAGTAATCTCTTTCTCTAATTAGATTTCGCAACCGTATAACATTAAGGCTACTAGTTTGGTGCTACTTTCAAGGCGATTCCACGAGTGCTCGATTAACAATCAAAAATTGTTGATTTAGTCACAGCTGTTGACTAAAATTGACTTACGAATTACGACTTACGAATCCCAATGCCAGGCTCTGGACTGACTTGCACGCTTTTTGAATGCTGGCAAATAGTATTCATAATCTATCTATCGAGGAATTCAATATTATTAATGAGAGATAGGTGCAAGTCTGAGACCATTCTTTCGAAAGGATGTTGGTATCCCACATGCAGGAAAGTGCTCTATGTGCTGCGTTGGAACAATTCTTTAACAAACAGGAAGAATCTATCTGAAGCACCTCCGTACTGCATGACCATCCAGAGCGTTGCGCCATTCAGTAAAATGATAAAATCGATAAAAAAAAAAGTGGTGTTGGATTGCTGGTTACTGCAGCGGTGCACCAAACTGAACCTTGGAATGCATTAATAGATCACAAAACGAGGATATGAAGTTCATAACTTAAGTTGGCTAATTAAGTTGGCTCGAGTTTTGCTACTATTTATTTGTAATGATGAGACAGATGCAACTGTGGAAATTTTTCGGAGAAATATTTGAATATTTTCATTAATTTTGCGGTGTAACTATGTAAGTACCTTGTCTATAAGATAAATACATTATAATATAGGTCGTTTTTAAGTTTTTTAGAATTAAGACATATATTTATAAATATCCAGTCAGCAGCTGGTCATCCTAGAGCGTTTAGAAGCTAACGCAAATTAATTGCATCGGTTTCAATTTCTGATCAATTATCTCCATTATATTTATTGTTATTTATTCATTACACTGCCATTATACTGAAAAATCATGAAGTGAATAAGAAAAAGGGATTAATCACCTCTTGACATTAAAAGCAAAATCCAATTAATGCGGAGGACCCTTCTGTCCTTTTATCTTTCTATCCCTGAATCACTCTCT